AAAAAAACTAAACAAAAAAAACAAATATTTTTTTACAGTGTAAATGCAAATAGTTAATTAACATTTTTAAGTGCAGGAATCTTCCCCGTTTCATTTCTGTATCACATTAAGTCTATTCGTTTGTTTAACTGTGGAATTTTATTTGCAATTCAATTACTACTAAATCCTAAATTAAGGCCAAAATATATGGATTTACACAAAACTATTTAGTAAAATAAATGTAAAATTGTCATGGAATTTAATGAAGTCATGTCAAATGTATATTTCACTGTCTAGAAATAGCTCTCTAGATAGTGATTTTTAAAAATCCACATTCACAACTTCAGAACGAAAGAACAGGAGGATCACATGGAGGAAGAAAACCGGGACCAAAGCTTTAGAATGGAAGAAATATGCTACAATTTCCATTTTTAAAATACTGTTTCTAATGTGACAGATTTATGGAGCTCCTCTCTGACAGAGCGTTTCAAGATGAAATTAAAGCTCAGATATCTATTCTCAAGACAGAAACCTCACACTTACCGCTTAAATTTTAATTTAACCACTGTATTTTTAAAATTAACCCAATTTATTGAGACAAACAACAAATATTTTTTGTTTTTACAGTCAACCACAAAATAAAAATTAAACAAACAAAAAAATGCGCTGAATATGCGTTCTGTGTAAATGGCTTGGTTTCGGTTTTAACCTAATCAAGATCTTCTCCGCATTGAGCTACTATATTTCTCTAATATTTTGAATGAATAACGCAGCAACTGCGCGTCTTGTGGGCTATACTTATAAAACATTAAAATGCAACGTCACTTATATCATTATCACCGCATCTCGCGCTCCACTAACAACGCTCCCAGACGCACACCTAACATTTGATTGTACTATTTTTGCATTCAAATGCAAATGTTTATTTTAAATTCGACTAGCATTCATTGTTTTTATAGCACGTGCCTATATCGTGCGCTATATTGAACATTTTTTATATCGTTATCGAAGAAGGTGTACCGTCGATAAATATCGATACCGTTTTATCGCCCAGGCCTAATTTGTACTGCATCATGCTGGGTAGCTTTGGGTATATTAAACATCACATATGATTGGCTGCATCTGTTGCGTCACGCAGCTGTTTTGCGATCAGTCTGGACAGATTACGTGTCACATTAGGTCTGTGTTAAATGAATGTGTCAAGAGAGCAATTGTAAAAAAAAATAAAAATAGATTCACAAAAATCATTGCATCTACACAGAATCAGTTTATTACTGTATTTCAGTACAGAGAATGAGATTTACAAATGTTCTTGCATTTGTAGGGATTTTGGTGTGTGTTTTTTAATTTTATTTGGCGGCTGAAATAAGGCCCAAGTATTTATTCATGAGATTCATCCAAAAAGTATTCATCAATCATCATTAATCATGAAGAAACAATACATCAATCACAATCCAAGAGTGATTCCAAAGGCTCTCGACTCTTCCAGTGATTTCTAAAGCTTGTGACGAGTCCTCAAACTTAAACCTGAAACTCTTATTAGGACATCTAGTGATGTTGGTGGGTATCTTGAGTCATATACACAACCCTTCAAAAGTTGGGACTCTGTTAGATTCTTTTTGAAATAAATTAGTCATTTTATTCAGCAAGGACACATTAAATTGATCAAAAGTGACCATGAAGACATTTATAATGTTACAAAATATTTTAAGATTTCAAATAAATGCTGTTCTTTTGAATAACTATCTATTCATTAAAGAATCCTAAAAAAATTAATGTATCAGGGTTTCCACAAAAATCTGAAGCAGCACGACTGTTTTCAACATTGATAATAATCAGAAATGTTTCTTGAGCAGCAAATCAGCATATTAGAATGATTTCTGAAGATCATGTGACACTGAAGACTGGAGTAATGATGCTGAAAATTCAGCTTTGATCACAGAAATAAATTACATTTTAGCAGATATTCACATAGAAAACACTTTTTAAATTGCAATAATATTACTTCAAAATGTTACGGTTTTTTTCTGTATTTTTGATTAAATATATGCAACCTTGGCGAGCAGAAGAGACTTTTTTCAAAAACTTTTGAATGGTATTGTTCACTCAAATATGGATTTTCCTGTTTAATGTTGTTAATTTACAACTATTCATAATGACAATTTTAGTGAGTACAATCAAGTTTCAGTGTTTAAAAATGGAAGTTTATTTCATTCTGAGACTGCATGGATCATTCTCACTGGTAATTTGATTTAGTACTCAACAAAAAAATATATATTTTTTTTTAATAAAAAATATTTATTTCTTGCAAAAAACTGTAGACATTTATTGTTATATATATATATATATATATATATATATATATAAAATTGTAGTTGCATGACGTAGTAATACCTTTAAAACTCTTCAAAGGAATAGTTATTAACTCCAAAGCCACATGATCTCTGTTCACTAAAGGTAATTTTTAAAACACATTCTGCATATTAGTATAATGACAGTGAAAGAGGACTTAGGCCATCAAACACCAAAATGACACAAGTACAAAAAAAAAGATAAAATATCATAAAACTGGTCAGTATGTGTGTCATATTTCAAGTCTTCTGAAAACATATCAATTCGTGTCAGGAACACAAAATAAAAAGACAAATTTAAGTTGTTGTTTACTGACAATCTTGACATGGGAAAAAAAAAGACTCCTTTTTTGTTCCACAGATGACAAAGCATCTAGAAGGCAAAACTAAATGCATTTAAGCTGGAATAACACGACTAGAGAGAGAGAAATTTGTTTTTTTTTAAATAAACTTACGCACACATATATACACGGCAAATTAACAAACATGGTACAAAACAGGCTTTGTTCTGTGCCTTCTTACTTTTATAAGTGCATTTTAAATTTCTCTTCAAATGCTGCTCTGAGTTTTATGTCTCCTGTTATTTACTGGAATGGTCATAGTGTTCAACTTTTGGTCCCACAACAACAAACTCACTGAGCATTCAGAGATCTGCATGTTTGTTTGCTTCTTTCAGTGAAGCTCGATGCACATCTGGATTCAAAATGTTTCTGCTCTGCACTTTAATATTGACTTCATAGAAGTTAACAGAACACAACTGCATTTTCTTGGGTCATGAACAAAGACCATATTCCTCAATTGTTTCAGTTCAGGGCAAATTGCTTAATTACAAAGTTACTCTGCGCTGCTACCAAATAATGGCATATGCGAGTATGATATACAGCGGCATTTGCATTTGGACGCATATGTTAAACCACATATGAATATCACTGCATTAGATTAGCAAACCAAATATATCAAAAAGCAGACTTTTGAACAAAGTTGATACAGTTTGAAATAAGATCAGTAGTGTGTGACTTTGCATTTGTTTGTTGTTAGCAGATCATGTCTATAGTTAATGTGATGAACTACACATGTAGTTCATGCATTCATTAAAAACAAAGATAAAGAAAACATGAAAAGTGAAGTAAAAGTGAAAGATCCTGCATTTGAGACGGACACTCAAATTGAAATTGTAAATCTAACGCAATGACATCCATATATTATGTTTAACTTACATTTCCAAACATTGTAACGGCACAGAAGCACATGTGTGGAGCGAATCAAGGAGATAAGGTACAAATTGACAGAGAAATGTCAAAAAATAATAATAATAATTTCAAGGGTGAAACTTTCCCAGTGAACACTGTGTAGTGCTTTACTGTAAACACACTTTTGAGTTTCATGCAGGCAGTTTAATGTATTTCATGCTTATTTAAGAAGCTGCTTTCCAACGAGCAACCCATGAGAATCTGCATCTCCTCCCTGATCACGCTGCCAAAACAATCAGCTATAGCAAAGACTCAATAAGACTGCTACTCTTTCACACTGCTCCTGTCACAACAATTACTGTCTGTATCGCCAGTTCTATTTGAGAAATTACCATACAATGAAAAGCACCACCTTAAAGCAATATTACATGCCAACTTAACTTATAAGACCTTTTTGACATGGCACTTTTCTGATAAAAACTAGTTTGTAGGGTTCTGCAGGCCTCGGCATTAAAGGGACAGTTCACCCAAAAATGAAAATGTGCTGTTAATTTACTCATCCTCAGGCCATCCAAGATGTAGGTGACTTTTTTTTCTCAGTCGAACAGTAAAGAAGATTTTTAGCTGAAACTGTGGTCCTTGTTGATTTATAAAATTAAAAAAAGCATAAACAGGCAAGACAAAATGAATACTCGTGGCTCCTGACGATATATTGAGGTCTTATGAAGAGAAACAATCAGTCTGTGCAAGAAACTGAACATTATTTACAACATTATGACCTGTAATCCAGAGCCTCAGGCAAACTGGGAAATCTGATTCTTTTTGATTCTCAAACTGGTTCTTTCAGACAGTTCGTTTCAATTCAAGTATGTTTACGTAATCACGCAATGACGTAACGTATATGCAAAATTATATTATTAAAGCACCCAATAATGATGTGAAATTTTTTTTGACTCTTAAAGTGCCGGCAGCTGCTGACTTGTACTTTATAAATTAGCAAGGACCTCGGTTTCAGCTAAAAATCTTCTTTACTGTTCGACTGAAGTAAAAAAAGTTTTGAATAGCCTGAGGGGGAGTAAATGAACAGCACATTTAAATTTTTGGGTGAACTGTGTTTTTAACAATGTGCTTGTCTTTGGAACAAATAAAACTGATTGCTTTACCTGTCCAAAAACTTTAGTACATAAAACCATTAACAAAATGGGAAAAGACACTAAACTGAAAAGAAAACTGGCAGAAAAAACTAACTTTACTCATTTTTAGCTGAAAGTCTTCCTCTATATAGAGTATAAATAGGACTGATCGTTTTTAAAATTCAAGAGCCCGAATAACCTTTCACTTTCATGGAGCAGCTTCTGAAAATATCTCCTTCTGCGATTCATGAAAGAAGGTCCTACGTTTGTACAGCAAGTAAATGACATCTTAATTTTGGTCCCTTTGGTTTGAAATGACCCAGCAAACGTGTGCGTTCACATCATACCTTGCAAACCGTCTCTGTGTCCCAAGGCAAAATGGTCTGTAGGTCGATGAGCTCGCAGGAGACACCTAGCTTCTCCTGTGCCATGGCAGCCACTTCCCTCAGCACATGCACCTGCAAGCCAAAGGTCAAAGGTGAACTCACAGTTAACAGTACAGACTAAGATACGACACTCAGTTTCAGAATCTCTCCAGCCGGTGTTGAGATATTCAGATCAGACTAACAAACGAGGCTTAACATGATATAACCTGATATTTTTCATTATTAGGTAAAATAGATTAAAATATATATTAAAATACTAAAAGGTACATTTTTCCACACATTTCATAGCAAAACATAACGTTTAAGTTTGAGGTTGAAAGAAATCTCTTCTGATCACGAAGCCTGCATTTATTTGATCAAAAATACAGTAAAAACAGTGAAAATGTGAAATATTATTATAATTTAAAATAAGTGATTTCTATGTGAATATATGTTAAACTGTAATTTATTTCTGTGATCAACGTTGAATTTTCAGCATATTTTCTAACATTATAAAGGTCTTTACTGTCCTTGTCTAATAGAAGTATAAATTTCTTTACTAAAAAACAAAAGTTTTGAATGGTGGCATAAATCAGAAATATTTAATTCATCCCGAAGGCCAGGTTTGTGTCGCTCATGTCTCGGTGAGATGAATGAAAAGCAAAAGGAGAGCACTGTCTATTAGAATCAAGCCTATTCACGAATGGCTGGCGAAGTCCTCGTTTCCCGTGACCTGTGACTCGTCTCTGCACTCAGTCTTACGGGCCTTCAGTCATTCAGCAGGATAAACCTGTGGAGTGTCTGAGCGGAGCGTCAGGACACCCAGAGAGCTGTCGAAGTCACCATCGTACGATGAGCACACGTTCTCACAGACGTACCTGTGTTCCCCAGGCCACCAGCGTCAGGTCACTGCCCTCCTGCAGCACCTCGGCCTGCGAGAGCGGGATCTGATAGGCTTCTGTGGGCACCTGCTCCACTGCAACACAAAACCACACATCACACATCAGCCCACAAAGCCTGTGAAGCCTGACATGTCAAATAATAGTCAGAAAAACATTTTTGTAACGGTTTAATAAACCTTTAGTCTAAAAATAATTATTTTTATGTTTGGCATGATTTGATACATCAGGCTTTTATGGCTCATACAGAATGATACATAGGATTTGAAGGGAAAAAAACAGCTCAGTTTTATTCAGGAACTCAAACGGAGCAAAAATATGCAATTTGCTGCAGATGCTGATATTTATATGGACAAAAAGTAAGATGAAATTCTGATGCTTGTAATGTAAATCAATTAGATCTTTATAACAGTATCGCAGATACTTACATAAAATGCTATAAATATCAGTCGTGTTGCGTCTGGACCAATCAAACACACAATATATATTTTGTTAGCTATATTTAACAAATACTCTGTAACACCCCTCAGTTAACAAGCCATATGAGGACCTATGGACCCTTCCCCCGAAATGCGTAACACCGCAGGAGGGCAGAACAGGCCTCTGGTTCCATGGCAACCAACGCTGATATCACTGGGTTTAGTAAAGCTGAGCTGCTTCAGTCCAGTAAGTGTTCATCTGGAGATATTACTGCAGTTATTCTGACGTTTACTTGATAAAAATCAGTAAATATTTGACAGCAAAAAGACACGTGAAGCACGAACTGAAGGAGGACAATTACACTAAAAGAGCTTTGACTTGATAAAAAAAAAAAACTCTGAACTATCAATCAGACGACAGAAAGCATGGAGTAGATTGTGTGTGAAACAGGTTTAACAGCAAAGTTTTGATCATGCTGATCATAAGCTTTATAAAGTTAAGATTAAATCTATGAGCTGTGGAGGAAACCGTTATATTGCTCAATTACTGGGGAGGGGGGGGTCTTGAAGGACATGAAACAAAATGGATGCATGACGTTTTGTGACAAGTCCGTTGAAACTCTTCCTATCCTTTTGATCTGTTCATACTGGTAATATTGAAAAAATAATGAACAGTAAGTTTGCATCAGGAGAAGTTTTGCACGGCTGGAAGAAACTAGCTAAAGAAAGGTTTAGTCTCACCTGGCAGCATGAGCACAAAGAACTTTTCACAGCTGTCATATCTCATGAGGTCTTGGTTTTTGATCCTAAATGCCGAATTATCTTTATGGTTAAATTATGTTTAATTTGAGCCATTTTCCTCAACCCGGTTTATACGCTCACTGAAGTCATTGTCCTTGTGGTCTTCTGGGAAATCATGCAGTTTTGATATTGAGGTTTCAAGTAATTTTGTTGAAAATGATTGAAGTTGATGTTGGTTGGTTAGGAGCGTGCTTTTGCTCAGAATTAGCATTAGTAGCATTTTTCTGTCATATTTCGGCTATTTGTTAACAGCAGATCTGGATAAATGAAAACAGCTAAAGTGGTTTTGTCTAAGCATATTTAGCTAAAGCTAACGTTCATCTAGCGCAGATCCAGATGGTCACAGCTTCCTGGAGAAATCTTATGATCCTAACAGTTACATTTGCTATTTGGCCATATCAACACCAGGGTTGTGATTTTTTTTTTTGTTTGTTTTTACTTAAATATATATTGGAAAAAAAAAAAATTTACTTAAGTTAATTGCCAAGGCAACATTTGTAATTTTCATTTAATTTAACTTGATGCATCAAAACGAATACTGAAATTAAAATTAATTAAACCTAAATAGCATTACGTAAAATAAACAAACTAATACAAATGAAAAAAGCACATAATAAAATTACTAAATTTAAAGGAAAAGTAAATGTACAAAAATTTAAACCAATTCAAAATATTATTTAAAAATATAGCAGTATAAAAATTCATACTAATAAAACACTGGTCAATACTATATTTTCTTCAATATTTGAAAAAAAAATAATAATAATTCCAGTTCTTTTTTTTTTTTCTGAAATTATTTTGATAGCTTACAATTATTCTTTACATTGCCTCAACCGCAGTTCAGTGTTGAGGTCAGAGTGTTTTACTGAATCTCACAGGATTTTAGCCCACAGGTTAATAACAAAACCATCATATTCTTCAAACCGGCTCTGAACCCTGAAGTAATGTTTAGCAGCTTTACGTACAGCAAACCGCTCCAGGAGTTTTGGTACTGTACTTTGTCTGCGGCACATCTGATAATGAAAACCTCCAAATAACATAAACCAGTTAAGTCATAAAACATTCTGCGTACTAGTCAAGGACAAAAAATGAAATGCCGTCAAGATGTGGCGATTGAGGAGACCGAAACGTCTGCTTAAACTTTACTACTGCACTCAGTTACTACAACTAGTGGACTGTCTACAACAACTGACAAAAACCTGCACAGCACAAGACGCTTATAATGCCTACATGTTTTAGACACCCATCTCTCATGTGCACAGCATTTCAACTATCAATGAATCTAGAGTGTAAATGCAACTCAGCTTTACCAAACTAAAGTCGATGCTCAGTTGCAAAAATCAAATGAACTCACTTTTTACTCACAGTGACCAAATGTACATTCACAGCCTGTTTCTGGATTCCAACACCAGCAAGATTCTTGCAGCCAAACAATAAGAATAATGCTACGCAGCACACTCAATGGAAAGCGGTTCAGGCTAAGCTCACTGGTTTGTGGTTCAGAGGTTTCATCCCAGGGTTCGAGTGATGATGAAGTCTAGTAAAAATGCATCACTAATGGTACAGACTCTTGGTAGTGGTGGATTGTTGGATGCCTGAGGTGTGTTTTCAGCTGACATGCACGCTGTCATTTAAAAATACTGCTCGATCTAATAGTAAAACCACTCTTTAAGAGATGGGGAAACATACAGGGGTTGGTCAAAATCATGTGAACACCTGGGAAATAGGCCATATTTCTTAAGGTGTTTTACCATTTGTATTTAATACAGCCACCAAACTTCTTAGAACAGATTCATATAACTATAGTTTAGTTGAATGTCATCCATCTGTTGAACGTAAGGGAATCTGCTTTACACTCGTCTCCAAAACTATCCATGGTGGTTTGATAATATTCAAGTCAGGTGGTTTGTCTGATCAAGGCAGATGAAGAAGTTCATCTTGATGCTCCAACTGTCCCAGTTTTATGATCGTGACTATCTTTTTCACATTTTAGCACTGTTGTCTGTGATTAAAGTTGTAGCTCTTTCATGGATGCTGGCTTTGAGAAGTTCCCGGTGATCAGTTTTTTTTGAAAACAAGGTCATCACAATGAATATTGAGGTTTGCTGTCAATTTGCAGCAGAAGTTTAGTGTTGTTTTCGGACAAAATCCTTCTTAGTGTTCAATGGTCCCTATCATTCAATTTTGGTTTTCATCCAATAATGAGGCAAATCTTACCAAGATTTGTGTTCACAGTCATGTTTGTAAAGGCTGTTGTTCTTGTTCACCAAACAAACAGGCTGTTACAGATGCTCCAGCTAAACCGGCTCCCATGATTTGCCCTTTTTGGAAGTCACACACTTCATCTATGGCTTGCTCTAATCACCACTGAACTTATACTGCACTCATATACAAACAATGAAAAGATAAATCACAATGTTTGTTTATTTTCATTGTAGTCTGCACAAATTATATTAATCTTTATAATAATGGGTGTTGACATTATTTTGTCCAACCTCTGTACATGTTTATACTAAAGACATGAAAGCTCCCTCACATCGATATATTTCCAAAGACATCTGATGCAGTGTAGACAATACTGTTGGCTATAATGGGTGTGAGTTTCTTCACAATGCTAAAATCCTCTAAACCTAGACATCTCATCATCTAGGCAGAGTCGTGGGATTTGTCCCTAGCAACCACACAACCTTGTGCTAAAAGCCTTAAAGAGATTACAGGTAATAATGTTGTAAATGTTCAGTTTCTTGCACAGACTGATCATTTCACTTCATAAGACCTCAATATATCGTCAGGAGCAACAACCATTAATTTTTTGCTCCTTGTGTTGCTTTTCTGATGCTCAAAATTGTAGCAACTGACTTGCATTTTATGAATCACCAAGGACCACGGATTCAGCTAAAAATATTTACTGTTCTACTCAAGAAAGAAAGTCACCTATATCTTTGATGGCTTGAGGGTGAGTAAATTAACGGCAAATTTTCATTTTTGGGTGAACTGTCCCTTTAAGAACACCCTAGCAACCACAAAACAAAACCCAAGCACTGCAAAGATCGCCTCCACATGGACGATTTACAAAACAGAACTTCAGAAAATTCAATCTAATTCCAAACAAAAGGTGCTGTGAACTTCTAAATACCATGTAATAAATCAACGCCATATTTATGGCCAATTAAACCTGCCTGAGTTACAATTTATGACATTACTTTTAATGCTGGCAACGGCAACTTCAAAAAAAAAGACAAAGTGGAAATTGGAAAATTCCATATTACCATCAAATAAACGTATAAAGTTTTTCAAATCAAGAATTGCACAAACTCAATGTTGAATGATTTATTTCCAACTTGTAAGAATAACTGCATAAAAAAAAGAAAAGCACTGCTCTAAAATTAAAACCAAATAATGATAAAGAGCCAAAGATCCTAAAACAAGCTCCAATGTTCAGTCAGGAAATTAAAGTCATACAGCAAAATTCTTGAGAGACACATAAGTCAGAGTAGCAACAGACAGAGAGCAGATCTAAAGCGGCCCATCACAGCGGATGAATCTGCTCTAATCCTCATGGCATGGCTTCCTTAAATGTGCATTGATTTCCTTTTCCGCTCTTCATTCAGTTCATTAATAAACCATTTCTTTGGATATGAGGATTGTGTCATTTAGAGCCATACTTATTCGTGCTTTAAACTGCACCAAAGATTCTTCTCATAAACAATAGCTCAAAGTGTGGTCGGTTAGTTTTGGCAGCGGTCAGTAAAGCCCCAGGTATGAAATGCTGCTAGCACACCATTTTTTTGGAAAAGACTGTTCCTCCATTTACATTTATGCATTTGGCAGACACGTTTATCCAAAGCGACTTATGCTGCATCAAAGTACACATTTCATCAGTTCATGCATTCCCTGGCAATCAAACCCAAGACCATGATTTTGCTAATGCCTGTTTGAGCTACAGGAATAAAAAAAATGAATTAAAATAAAATAAAATAAACGATATGCATATTTAAATTATGCATTTTCTTTAATAAAAAAAAATGTTTTAGAGCAGTTTAAAAAAAAAAATACATTGAAGAAACCAAAAGTGAGATGGTGTCTGATCTGATTTTGAGTCCAATGTAATATCTCATGTTATGGTAATAAAATGATCACGTCATAGTGCAGCGAAGGTGAAGGTGATAGTGAAGGGGCAGAGTTTAAGCAGATTTAATGATTGGAGAAGTCTGTCATTTACCGGAAAATCAAACATTACATGGATTAAACATTACGAGGTCAAAACACTGTTACAAAAATGAAACGTATGCATGGATGTAAACATCCAGAATAAGATCTATACCATGCATTTTGAAAATACATGAGTGTGATTTTTTTATTTCATGCTGACTTTAAAGAATCCCCTCCACATTACTCGCATGACTTGTGACTGAACTGGAGCCATACCTCAGTGAAACAAGTACAGTGTAAGGCACTGAGAGAGAAATGAGAAACAGCATGTCTTCATTCAACAGCTGCAAAGCATCTAGGAATATTAAGACCATTCAAGATACTCACTGATCTGATAAAAGTTCAAAACACTCAACAGATCACACTGATTTATGAGCAGATAAAATGGGAGCTGAAACGACCATTCAGGAGATCAATAAATACCACTGACTGACTGAACAGGTAATGTGACACTACTAACAATGTTTTTCTTAAATTGCATATTTCTTCCGAATAAAAAGTTCAGATCTTTCTGGCTAATATCAATTGCAGCTCATTCTTCATTCATTCATTTTTATATTTGACAGGTCTGTAGCTGTTTGCTATGCATCACATCTCATTTTTTGTTTGAAGTTTTCATTATTATGTTTGCATCAGTAGATGAAACATTTTTTTTCAATAGCCAATGATGACACTTATATTAATAGAGAGCAGGGTCTCCAATGGAGCGGTTAGCCAAGCCCAGGCCCGGTTCTACAGGGGTACTAGAGGGTGCTAAATACTAGAGCCCGACCGATATATCGTTTTGCCGATATTATCGGCCGACATGAGCCTGTCGCCAATATATCGGTATCGGCGAATATGCCGCCGATATAAAACATTTTTTTACAGAACATATAATGCAGATAAAATGCTTGAAATGGTGTAATTACTTAGTTCTATGGTAAAATAAATATTAAAACCACGTGTGTTACAACTAACCCCCCATTACTTTGTGCATGGCACTCATCGCAAGTTTATTGTTAAATTGTTAAATGCCCTTACATATCTCTGTCACCATTATAAGTGTTTGATCACCACATTTGAGTGATCATTGCAAAAAATGTGTTTATGTATATATATTCTGTTTATGTATATACTGTATTCTATATATAGTACCAGTCACTGGTACTGTACTATAATATACACAAAGAATATCGGCCGATATATCGGTATCGGCCTTTTTTTTACTCCCTAATATCGGTATCGGTCCCAAAAAACCCATATCGGTCGGGCTCTACTAAATACCCTCAAATGAACGCAAAAGCAATTGAAGATCTGGCAAACTATCCAGTGCGTATTTGCATTTGCACTCTGGACAGCGTCAAAAGTTACTATTTACAACATGTTTTTGCAGCGTTGAGCGATGTAAGCCAATCAAAGACATATCTGTTGATTTCTTTAATGCAATGGCCAGTCAGAAACGTTTTAGTTTGTCAGAATTCACTCACCGCTGAAAGCACCAGAGTTTTTATTAGGTGCAGTTTTGCACACTCGTAAATCTTCTCATAACTAAGTGCAGACGCGATGACAAGAGATTCATTGTGCAGTTTAGAGAGCTTCATTGATTATAACAGAACTTTTGTGGATCGTGATGAACTAGGATGGGTGAGTGATGCTTTTTAGTGATAATAAAGGGAGCGTGCTTTGCGCAAAATGCCGAATTATCTTTATGGTTAAATTATGTTTAATTAGAGCCATTTTCCTCAACCCGGTTTATACACTCACTGAAGTCATTGTCCTTGTGGTCTTCTGGGAAATCATGCAGTTTTGATATTGAGGTTTAAAGTAATTTTGTTGAAAATGATTGAAGCTGATGTTGGTTGGTTAGGAGCGTGCTTTTGCTCAGAATTAGAAACAGAAGCTTGTGAAAAATCCACTATTATCTTTTCTGTACATGTATGGGTTATATTTCGCTTATACATGAAGTAAAAACTTTCTTTGGAAAAGAAAGTCTTTGTCACACTCACACTCACACACACTCTAAAAATTTAAAATTCATCATCAAATGCATTTCCCAGTTGTGTATCAAAGTTCACATTCACAAAAGTGATTGCTCTTTTGGTTATTAGTGCTTTAATAAACAGCATTTTCACTTGCTGTGAGGCTATTTAATGCAACATCATGCATTTTGTCCTTACTTGGGGTTTCTTAAGTTTTAAAATATAAAATATACAACATACTTTTAACAACAATCTTATTATATTCTAGTAAAGCCAAGTAAACCAATATAAGCACTTACAAAATTCATATATTTTTTTGCAATTTCAAACAAAAGATCATTTAAAATGTTAAGTTTTAGGTTTCATCCCACTGTGTTAAAATTCTCAAGTTTTCACCAAGTTTTTTATTTCAGTGCATCATATGCTCAGTGTAATCAGAACACAGATGACGTTCAAAATATATCTGTAGGTGACAATGTGACTATTCACTTCTGTAGTCAACATGAGGATTTTAGGCTAATGCATAAATGTTTATAAAATTTCCTTAACTGCTCACCGTTTATTTTAGGTTTTTCACCATTTACTTTACCTCCATTGTGTTATATGTATCTTTAAATGTACAAATATTCCTTGTAGTTTCTCAATTAATACGAGCTCATAAAAGCTACACGCATAATAATTTGCAGAAGAAAATGTGACTTTAAATCATTTTAGAATATGAATGCTGAAGAACAGAATCTAATGTCAGCTACCCATAATCCCACTGTGACTGTTTTATGATCTCTCACCTGCTGCTCTGTACAGGATTTTGGGCTCAAAGAAGATGCAGGGGTTTTGATCAGTGATGCAGGACAGAAGTAGACCCTTGGCCTGGACCGGACCTCTCGGCACAACAATCTAACAGACAGAGAAAGGGGGGAAAAATATATTATTTGTTTCATAAAAAGGAAAAATAAATAAACTTGTTGTTTGTACATTTATAAGGACACTTAAGACTCCGAAGGCCACGCTATGTCTCCACATTAGGCTCGTTATGAAGATGCCTCGAGATGGAAAAAATGATTCACTATCAAAAGCCACTTGTTCCTGGCAGCAACGCTGATTTTCAAAGAGACCCGTTTTAACGGAATAGACCATTACAGATGAAGACGCAATAAAAGATTTGCTGCACAACAACAAAGATTGGTGATGCACAGAGAATCAGACAGTACAAAGTGAAGAGGTTAAATCCGCTCGGACACTCATTAAATGTCTGGTCCAGACGAGAGCTGGTGCAATCACTTCATAGAGAGTCAAACATCCATCTGCTTTGAATTTGATCCAAACTCTAATATTTCTGAGCATTTTGATGCGGCTTGAGAAATATGTGTTGTACTGCGAGTGAGATGAGTAAAGAGCTGCTGCTTAATCTACCTCAAACTGATACGTGAGAGGAGACTGTGTGTGTCCTCTACTCAATTATAATGTAACTCCTTTTGCAAACTAAGTCCTTCATAGACTATGACCACTGAAAGATAAAAACTACAATTCAAAGGTTTGCATTCAGTAAGATTGTTTCAATAAAATAATACTTATAAGGCCTGTTCACACCAAGGACGATAACTATAAAAATGAAGTATTAATAAACATTTTAATTTTATGGGAAGTCGATAAGGACGGCGTTAATGACACAGAAGAACAACATTATTGGAATCACTTTCAGAACTGATAAAACGACAAAACCATTGACCGATCAGAAACCATCCAATTTTAAAGCGCTCGGACATTTAAAGCGGCAGATGACAAAACTGTTATAGTTATAGTTATCTTTCTAGTTATCATTCTTGGTATGAACAGGCCTTTTTCAGGAAGTATGCATTAAATTGATCAAAAGTGACAGCAAAGACATTTAAGTTACACATCAATGTATCGTCACGAGCCGCAGGGTTTAATTTGGTTTTGTTTGTGTATTTTTTTTTGACTCTCAAAGCCGTGATTCCCATTCACTTCCATTATAAGACTGACAGACTGCAACGGTTTGAATTAAAAATCTTTGTTTGTGTTCTACTGAAGAAACAAAGTCACCTACATCTTGGATGCCCTGGGGGTAAGCAGATAAACATCAAATTTTCATTTTTGGGTGAACTATCCCTTTAATCCTTAAACCCCAGACCTAAACTTGACAACTACCTTACTAACTATTAATAAGCAGCAAATTAGGAGTTTATGGAGGCAAAAATCATAGTTAATAGTTAGATAATAGTGAGAACTAAAGTGTGACCTCTATTTTTTTTTCTTTGAAATGCGAGTTAACCATGGCGAGATTCACCTTAATTCCAGGACAGTGTGCGAAGAAGGCCTCTGGACTCTGGGAGTGATAGATCGAGCCGTGACCCACGCAGCCCCACGGAGATCTGATGGTCAGCTTCCCGCAGTCGTACATGTTCCCCGAACGGTACCGGTACTTGGCTGCTTCGTTTACGATCTTCAACAGCATCAAAAGTTAAAAACAGAAAAAGGACTTAACATTTACAACTCACAAACTGTTGGTGCAAACTGTTTCTGTAAAATATTCCCCTATTATTGTATTTGACATTTGGTTGCCTTGACGATGGAGGGAAACTCATCCCATCTCCAGTGAGACGAGGACACGTGGACAACACTTCATTTCCAGCGATACCGTTGACTTGATTGCAAAGATACTATTTAAACTGAGCTGGATGTTGACATCACTGAATTCAATGATGAACTGTCTTTAACTGAAAAATTTGTGTTTACTATTGTCATTTTGCATTATTGACACACTATTTTCCTAATTAATGCTGTTCAGTTGCTTTGACACAATCTGTATTGTTAAAAGCGCTATATAAATAAAGGTGACTTGACTTGACAACAATAGCACTGGACTGACAGAAAGACAGAAGCTGGACGCTTTGTCTTATACCTTAAAGTCAGCCAGCGTCTCACAAACACCCCAAAATTACAGACTGAGAAACCTGAAACTCTTCACGCTGCCCTCACACTACTATTGACATCATTGTATCTTGATAGGAAAATACAATTAAATAGAGAAATTATTCAAATGGATACATATCATGTAAGTCAAAGCAAAATTTCCTCCCCAGTCCAAAAATATACATTTAGAGCCAGATTTACTAACAGCTTACAAAAAAAAGCTTTCAGATGCAAAATTTATGGAAGGAGGTAATCTAAATGAATCATTCAAGCTGCCTTAATAAGGTTTTTTTTTTTTTTTTTTTTTTTTTCTTTTTTTACATGGAATAGTAATACTTCACTTCTTTAATAATTTTTGTTTATTTAGCAATATTATTATTATTATTATTATCATTATTAAATAGCCATTTTGATAAATAATCACAAAATTTTAGTGAAGTTGTGCAGTTCTAGAAGTAAGCATAGCAAACCTAGTTTTAAAAAATAAATACAATAAAATTAAATAAAAAAATTGCAGAAAAATTGCAATTACATTTACCCCTTGGACGCCTATCCAAGGTAATAACGACGAAAACACTATTATTCCTTAACAGCAGATAAACTAAGAAAACAATATAGCAGCAAGCAGCGATGACGGGCCCAAGCCTCCGGCACCAACGCAAACCCAGTGGCATTAAGAAAAGGGTTTGAAGGGTTACGGCAATGAAAGGGTTCATCTAGAACATCAAGAGTGTGAAACACACACACACACACACACACACACACACACAAAGTGAACAATACATAAAACTTTGGTAACACTTTACAATAAGGTTTCATTTGTTTATCTATGTGATCTATGTGATCTGCATCATACGACGAACAAACTGAAGTTTGGTCAAAATATGTATGAGGAAGTTATAATAGACTTCCTGTTTCCCATTTTTCACCATACATTTATCGCCTTCACCATGGCAAACCGTTCGAGGAATCAAAAATCCCTTTGCAAATTTTGAATCCTCAATGTCTTGAGGTCATGCTGACAGAGTTTGGTGGCGATCAGATGAAAACCCTAGGAGGATTATTGCAAAGTCCAGAGCATGCATTTAAAAAAAAAAAAAAAACCTGAATAGCTCACTTCCTGTTGGCAGAGATAATGACATGCAGCGTAAAAGTTATTTGGCTCGATGATAGGGTTGGGTACCGAAACCCGGTGCCAATATACATACCTATGTAACTGGTATGTACTAGAACCGAATCAGAACGCAGATTTCGGTGCCACTTAAATGCCTGAGCAATTGATTGAAATATTTGTCCTGGTTCTCCGAAATGGACGTAAGAAGCATGGGCGTCGCTAGGCAATTTTTAGCGGGGCTATAGCAATTAGCTCCATAAAGTGTACACAAATTCGTGATCGCCTCAGTGTCAGTCCCCTTTAAATTTCATATGAAAACGGTGGCAGACTTTGTCTCCTCTCCGTCTTTCAGCATGCTCTCTTCAATCCGCAGACCCGCGGCAGCGCAGCGCGAGCGGACTCAAACAGAAACAGAGGACACAAGGTGTGTGTTTATCGATAGATTGTTATAATATCTGTATCTGTGCAGTTCTTTGTCATAAATACAGTTTACACAAGGTCACGAGGGAGCAATCAGTTTCCCATCTACTGTAAAGTTTTCGCTGCGTTCACCCCTCATCACACCACAGCTGTTTCCTCGGGCGAAAATCTAGCCCTTAACACATATGAACGCATACTTTATAAAACGATCATGTTGCTATTTTCATTTGAAAATTTAATATTTAATATAAAACATATTACAGTGCATGTGGCATACCATACAGTCATTCACAGAACTGATTAAAGACAGTGACAGACAGCACTCAGTTAATTCACTCATTTTAACTAAATATCTGAGTGATTGACAGAGATACAGTAGAAACATTATGTGTGGTTTTGTATTAAATATTGTTTTGTATTAAATAATGACCCAGATCGTGAAATACACTTATTAGCCTTAGAAGGGAAGCACAACTCAGGAAATGAGAGCATCCGAGGAGCATGTGAATGCTATGTATATTTATTTTAAATATTTTTAATGTCCTTTAATGTTATCCATCGGGGTTTTTTTTAAGTATCGGTTTAGACACCGGTACCGTTTTAAAAGTATCGATTTGGCACCGGTATCGTAAAAAACCTAATCGATACCCAACCCTACTCGATGAGATCTATATGTGTACGGAGTTCCATATGTATATGTGCAAGTATGCATGAGATATGGACCACCGGATTCCAGGGGGCGCTGTAGAGCCCCTCTGCCATGCCCGTGTACCAGTCTCTGCTAGGCTCGAATTGCCACAGATTCCAAGATGTGTGCCAATTTTCAAGAGTTTTTGAACCCCAAAAACCTTGACGAAAAATAATAATAAAGAATAACAAGAATAATCCTTAGAAAAACAATAGGACACTGTGCCCCCTAGGGGCTAGGACCCCAACAAGATAAATCAAACATGCATGCTTATGCTCTATGCAAGTGCGCTGATCAATGTTTTTATGTGAATAAAAGCCTAAATTAATTCTGCAAAATCACATAAAGTGATCGTGTCTCTCCAGGAGACTTGGATTAAATGTCTTGATTCGTATGGATTATGTTTACAATGTCTTCATGAACTTTCTGATGCATCAAATTTTTGGTGTTTGGTGTTTAATAAAGTAATTGAAATAGTTACACTACTAATTACATTTTAAATACGGTAACTTGTAATCTGTAACCTATTAAATTTCCAAAGTAACCTTCCCAACACTGATCATATCATATACACACAGAAATGCAAAGGTATTCACGGCAACCAATCAAAATAAAAGTTCTGTTTAACTTTAAGACATTGTGTCAGAAATATATTAGTATTGAGCAGTAGGATGTACGTAATATTACTACTACTACTACTAAAATTAACATTTTATTTTTTTAAGGAATAATCACACAATATTTCTTCCATGTTTTAATTTTAATAGTAAATCCTCTATTCTTGCCAAAAAATAAAGTATGTTTAATTTTCATTAATTAAAAAGCAAATTAAATGAATGTATTATGCCTACATTTGATAACAAGAATAAATTAAATACACAACACAGAATTTCTGAAAAAAAAAAAAAAAAAAAAAAAAAAAATTCATAAGGCCATTGTTAGAATAAATTTGAATAAATTAAGTTGTTTTTATTAATTCAAATAATTAGACATGCTAAAACACAGAATTTGGTCACAATAAAGCATAAGGTGAGAAAAATTCATCAACACCCCAGTTTCACAATTTTAATTAATTAGACATGCTTTTTGATTAATAAAACTTAAATTTAACCATTAAAAAGGAGTCCAGAAAAATTTAAATGAAAAAAAAAGGAATCTAGAAAAATTAAAACTGAATTTGGGATATTAGTGTAATAGCCTTTCAGTGGAAAAAATACATCTCTCAGGTTTCATTAAAAATACCTTCATTTCTATTTCTGAGATGAATGAAAATATAATGGGTTTGTAGGGCTGGGCGATATAGCTAAAAAATATATCAACGATATATGTTTCATATCGTTCGGTATCAAACTTATAATATAATTATTGACATTTTTTATAACCTTTTTTAAAACAGAGCAATAGAAAAAAAAATGTAATTTAACCACTGTATTTTTTATTTGCCCACTTTATTAAGACAAACAACAAATGTATATCTTTTCTTTTTTTTTTACAGTCAAACATAAAATAAAATGGAAACAAATATCTCCTTTCTTATGTTTTATATGCAGATTAAATAAGTCTTAAGGAAACTTTTGACTTGTTTCCCGAGGCCACAGGAGGACGCAATAAGCAAAATAATGCAGCACATCAATTGTCAATTCAAATAACGGTCTATAAAAACGTGCATAACGTCTAAATTAACATATGTAAATCAAATATTATTTTGTAAACTGCATAAACAATTATGAACAAAACAGCATCATGTGTTTATGCATTGCTTAGCCTAATACAAAGAGCCAAATCGCCGATCACACAGATTGCATTTAAAAACAAATGAGACGCA